AACCATACCACATTGATTGTGCATTTGACAACCTGTGAGTGGTTGGAGTTCGGCAGTGAAGCTCGATGTCTGTTATCCTAAGATTAATTCAGGAGAAGGCTCTGGACTCAAGGACAATTGGACTAAAAACTCCTTTTAAGGATGTAACCTCATAGGGAAAGGTAATTTTCTATCAAGCTGATGCATTTACCGGGGGCTGCTCATTTTTAGATTCTAGCACCACCTAGAGGGGAGAATAAAATAATTTCCATTCACCCCTGAATAGAAGGCATCTTTCATTTCTATTAACCATTTTTCAGTTTTAAAACATAACCTTCATTTTAATAACTTATTTGATATTCAGGTAATTGTCATTAAGGTGGAAGTTTCTATTCATTTTTCTGATGAAGAAATTTATCTCTCAGTGGCTTACTGTGCAAAACATTTGACCAATTCTTCTTGAAACAGCTTTATTTGGGTATAATTTACATACTGTAAAATGCACTCATTTTAAATGTATAACCCAATGATTTTTAGTAAATTTACTGAGTTGTGCAGCCATCTTTATAATGCAGTTTTAGTATATTTTCATCACCACAGCAACATCCCTCCTGTCTCTTACGGTTAATCCCTCTTCTAATCACTAGCCCCGGGCAGTCACCAGCCTGCTTTCTGTCTCCACAGGTTTGCCTCTTCTGGGTGTTTCATATGAACTGAGTCATACAACAGGTGCTCCTTTCCCGCTGGCTTCTTACATGTAGCATGTGTTTGAGGGTTATCCATGGTATAGCATTTACCAGCATTTCATTCCTTTTTACTGCTGAATAGTGCTCCATTATATTGGTAGACCACATTTTATTTGCCTGTTTATCATTGACTGACATTTGGGTGGTTTCCATTTATTTTATTTATTTTTTGCTATTATGAATAATTCTATTATGAGTATTGGCATGAAAGTCACCATTTTAAGAAGAAAATTTCATTACTAAAAAGGCAGTGAAGAAAAGATGTAGAAGAAGAGTGATTATGTGAATTGTGATATTGGGGGGGAAAATTAGGATAAACAATCTGGAGATCCCCAAGGGGAAAGCAGCTGGGTCCTGGGTTCAATATTTATACCTAGGAAACAGAGGGCTCTTGGAATCACAGTTGTGCAGAAATACAGAAGTGTGGAGAAATAATTCATTATTTGCTTTGATTGACTTGCAGGATTCAAAGGCAGTTCTTAAGGGATTTCTTCTTCTTGTGTAAATACAATATGTAGCAGATGCAGATTTCAGTAATGCACCTGACGGTGTGAGTCCATTATAACTCCCCCTGGTTCTCAAGAGGATGGTTAAGGGGCCCTTTCAAAGTTAAACCGTGGGGTCCGATATTTGAGTCCAAATCCAGCTTCTGCCAATATGTGTGAGGCCTCGGCCGGTCAGTGTTCTCATTGGTACCCTGGAAGGCAATGGCACCTACCTTATGGGGCTGTTGTGAGGACTCACTAAGATGTCTCTGCAAAGCCCTTAGCATAGGGCCTGGCACACAGTGAGGTATTTGTTTGTTTGTTTGTTTGTTTGTTTGTTTGAATCCTCACCTGAGGATATGTTCATTGATTCCAGAGAGAGGAAGGGAGAGAGGGAGAAACATCAATGTGAGAGAGACCCATCAATTGGCTGCCTCTTGTGCACCCCAACTGGGGATCAAACCCTCAACCTAGGTATGTGCTCTGACCGGGAATCGAACCTACAACCTTTCAGTGTATGGGACATGCTCCAAACAACTGGGCCACACTGGCCAGGGTGCACAGTGAGTTCTGATGTTATTTTTGTAGGCTTGGCTTGTGCCCTAGATACCCAGAAACAGTGACATTGACCTCTGTTTATTCCTGAGAAGCTTTCATGTTGTTTCATTGGATGTTTCTGGCCCAAATCCTGTTGAAGAGGGGTAGAAGTTTCCTTTAGAGATGATACAATGTTTGTGGAAGTGGAACCTCATAAAGAAAAATATTATCACCCAGAATGGCATAGGCTGGTAGGAAGATTTAGTGCAAATCTGAAGGGGCTGATTAGGACTTAGGGGGATAAATACCAGGAATAATTAGCATGATAAGTTAGCAACTCATTTTGCATATAAAATCATTGTCTAAGACGCTACAGAGTTTCCCCTATTTATGGATGACAGTCAGAGGTCCTTGGGCTTAATCAAAATTTAATACCCTGTGAGGGGAAATACGAAGAATACAAATACTCAGTAATAGGCAATATGTCAAGTGCAGTAATTGCCAGTTTTAAACAGCCCTTCTCGCTGTCCCCCTCCTTGTCAGCCTGTGCACCTAATCTGTGCTTAGCAAGCATGGCCAGAACCAGTCTCTGGGGAAAAAATGGAATGAAGTATATTCTGTTGCAGGAAACTACATCAAACGCTCAACAAAACCATAATCTTTAAAATGACACAGAGACATAGTCAAAAATACTTAAATCAGGGGAATTTTCCTCAAGAAAATTTGAAGGCTTTTATTTCATTTGGGGTAGGGCACATGAGTTTCCATGAGTTGCTCAGGCCTTTATATCCACCCGAGTGGTAAATTTAAGAGGCCAACGTGACCCTGAATCCCAGACATCTTTCTGTTGAAGACAGCCAGAATCTGAGGAGAAGTCATTGGTGTTCTTGTCACCAGAAGAACGAAGCTCAGTCAGGCACAGAAGGAAATATAGGTGTGTTTAGAGTGCTACAGGTATACTTGGGGGAAACCAGACAGAAGTGACCTGGTGAGATGTAAGAACAATCCTATTAGATGTTTCGGTACATCAACTTACTGGCTCCAATTTTTGTAGCCTTGTAGTCACACCCTTTGCCATGTGACTTTGCAATTCTTCCTACTAGATGCATGGACGTTCGGCTTGAACGTTGGCCTTACTGTGGCCAGTGAATGTGGGCACAGTGACCAGGTGCTGGTTCCAGGCTAGTCTTTCAGGGGCATTTGTGTTTTCAGTCGCCTTCTTGTGCTTCTGCCATTGTTTTCAGACGAAAATGTTGTGGCCCAAAGAAGAGGAGGAGAGACATGTGAAGCAGGTCTGGACACATGCTCAGCCTAGGTCAGCTGACCTCCAGCAGACATGGAAGCAAGAGCAAGTGACCGCTGTGCAAAGCCACCGAAGTTTGAAGCTGTCAAGCAGCGTTATCGTGACAATAGGTTACTGACCCCCTTACCCTTCACTACCTCCCCCCCCTCTAGTAACCACCATACTGTCGTCTGTGTCTACGAGTTTTGTGTGTTTGCCTTGTGTGTTCATTCGTTGCTCTCAGTTTTATAGCCCACATTTGAGTGAAATCATATGGTTCTTGACTTTTCCCATCTGACTTATTTCGCTAAGCATGATAGTCTCAAGATCCATCCATGCTGTTACAAATGGCTGTATTTCATAATTTCTTATGACTGAGTATTCCCCCAAATGCCTCTTATTTCAGGCACTTTCCTATTTTGAGAATGGAAGTAACTTTGCACTCTCATCAAAATGTGAGCACCACGAAGGAAAACGGGGCCCTGGTCTGACTGGTTCACAGATGCACCCCAGCACCCCCACTGGACCTTGCTCATTCAGGGCTATTGAGCAGCATATTGGTCTTTTAAAAGAAATCCGCTGTATCCCGCACCTCATGGGGAGAGGGGACTGGGAGCAGGAGGGCTCACAGCGACTCTGAAAACCACCTTCGAGGTATGCAGGGAAGGGCTCCATAGGCACACTTGCTGTCTCTAGCTCAAACATACAGCACGCGGGCTCCAAAAGCCCCACCTGCAGAACGAGGAATCTTGACTTCAAATAGAGGGTCGCTGCTGGTTTCACACTTTTAATTGGTTAATGAATATTTACATTAAAAAAATGCTGTTAAGGGACCTGGCATAGAAAGAGTTGATTGTGAAGCAGAGAATAGGTTATCATTTCCAATGCTTCACAGAAGAAAAATTCAGGAAGACTGAGTGTCTTAAGTTTACAATTCTCATTCTGAATACAAACTCTTACACCTATCCACCCTCCTTTATATAACACTTCCGTTATAAACATCATCAACCATGCTTGCTCCAAATGTGCAGCTGGGAGAAGCCCACTTTCCCTGGCAACATCGCTTTCCAGAACCAAAAACCTGATTTTCATTCCTGAAAGAACTTCATCCTGTTCATAGGATAAATCTGTATTAGAATGTTGGGCTCTGGGATAGGGAGACTTGGAGACTTGTTTACGGAAGAGATTAAAACTAACCCAAATCTGTTTGGTTGAGGTACCCTGTCTAGACATTCTTTGCTCTCTCTTACTATCTTTAAGAAAAGCTTAGTAATCCTTCCTCTAGGGAGAGGATTTGTGGATCATTTGATCATGAAGGCATGTAAATGAATGGGTATGGCTGTGTTAAAAAAAAAGACTTTATTTACAAAAACAGGAAGCCCAGCCTTAGTTTGCCAAACCCTCCTGTAATGGTGAGGCTAGGGGCTCAAGTTCTGTCCAGAATATCTGAATATTCTGAATGGATGCTGGTCACTAAAAATTTGGGTTTTGTGTCAGAGAGACCTGGTCCAACTGCAATACTTTGGTATGAATTTTTAGAATAGTTAAGGATTATATCAGTACCTTTGGCCCAGATCATTTTATGTGAAGAATCCAGGTGGAATATATAGCTGATATATTCCATTTAACAGCTGATAGCTGTTAAATGAAAATGAAATGTATTTTAATAAACACCGCCTTTATAATTATTCAAAGTGTGTGTATACATTTTTGGAGGATGTGATATTTTCTAGTGTCAGACTGAACTAGGATGAAATTCACTTAAGTGCACTTATCTGAAATAAAGTGAACAACTGTAGCTGCTAGGAACTGGAAGGAGTAACTAAGCCTGCGTTTCCATCCAGTCTCTGACTTTAGAACTTAAAATTATTAGTGTGACAAATTTTCATTTATCTTATGTTTGATTACTTTTTGTTTTTAAGTTAAAAATTGAAAATGGTATAAAAGAAAATTAAAATAACCTAAAAGAAATTTAAGTCATAAAGTTTTTGGTCCCTTTAATGAATCCTTCCAATCTCAAGTCAAAGCCAGAAATATTTCACATGTGAATTAAATGCCATTAGGAATCATATTAAGGCGCCTGCCCCGCCCCACCCCCAAATGCAAATCCATTGATTCTTCACCTGCAACTTTTTGATAGATGCTGACAAATTCCTTTTACAGTGAATTTCTAGATTCAAGAATTTCTCAAAATTGGCCTCGGACGATTTTCCAAGGAAATAAAAATGTATTCCAAAGTATACTTGAAATCCTTCAGCATTTGCTCGCTTTATACGAGAGTAAAGAGGGAAGTCACAGAGGGTCCTCTTCACCCGCTGCACAGGGCGACAGGCACCTGAATATGCTCAAGTGCCAATCAGATCAGGGATGCTAAAATGAATGATTACCTCTGTTAAAAAATAACATTTTGTCAGTTGCTTAAAGGTTAAACTGAAGATTTACTGTAGAGGCCTAATTTTGTTTTTTCCAGAAGACTCTTCCCGTCCTCTAAAACAGTTTACGTAGTGAGGAGGCACTCTGTTGTGGCTAGAGGCTGAAGGAATGAGGGAGACGCGGAAAGCAGTGCAGTTCTTCACGACACACGGTATACAAAAGCCCTTCGGCCTGTAGCCTTCCATCTGCAAAGATCTCTGCGCCTGCTGTTTTCATCTGGGAGACTGTTAATTCACAATATGTTACAATTTCCCAAGGTATTATAAGAGAGATTAACTGCTCATTTTTGACTATTTTATAGACAAATTTTCTTCCAAAGGTGGTAATAAAATCAATATTTTGTTTTACAAGAAGCCACTCAATTACCTAATGGCCAGCTCTCTACCCCTCTGTGTGATGCATGACAGCTGAGAATTCAGAACATCGCCCCTGAAGGGTGAGTCACCGAGTGGACACTTGATACAGAGCAAATGCCTGCACCAGGCCTGCTCCGTTGAGTAGCCTCCAACCACTAAGCTTGGCCAATCTGAATAGCTTTAATAGGCCGTGACCACTTTTTACCCTTCATTTCTTATAATCACGGAATTTTCCTTCTTGAAAACAAAAATTATTACAGAGATTATCAGAGTGTCAGGTACAGCATTAGAGGTGTTCCAAAAGATAACAGTCCATTTGAAATGTTGAACTGATTCATAATAGTTTTTCAAGGCTTTGGGTCATTTGCATTTTAAAGTTTATATCAGACATTGCAATTGTTAAAGAGGAGGAATGGTAATTAGGCCACACTGAACATCTCGTGTCCACATCCCATGCAATTTTTGGAGAATGCTGCACTATGTAAACTGCTATTACAAAACAGGCAATTATTACACTGAAATTTCCATAAAATCCATCCAAGTAAATCTTGTAGCCTCTCATCTTTGCAGATGAGTATCTTGCCTTTGAGAAGATGCAGCAGCAAAAAAAAAACCCAACTTGCCATAGAAATCAGCAGTAAGATTTCTTGTCTGAGACTATGTAACTTTTTCATTTCATTAGATCTCTCCTCCACCTCATCTATTCACCCAATAAGCATTTATTGAGCACCTTGTATGTTCCAGGCATCATTCCAGGCTCTGGGAATACACTGAACAAAACACAGGAAAGTCCCTGCCCCAGGGGGCTTACATTCTAGGAGGGGGAGACAGACAAGCACCTAAATACATAATATCACAGGGTTTCAAAATAGCTTAGAAACATGCCTGAAATCTATGTACTGACATCTATGATAAACTGAAGGAGAGGCCAATAATGGACCATAGAAATTTCACTAGTCCCTGGTTCACCATTTCTAAGTTCAATCACTCTGGGCCTCAGTTTCATCATCTATAAAATGGGGAGAAGTTGAATTAAGTAATTTTTTTTTTTAAAGGGAAAGGGTCCTTTTAGGCTCTTATTTTTCATGGTTTTATGGGATCCTCTTGCACAAAATCAAGAGCCAGTTTTTTTGACTGTTCTATGGTTTTAAAAAATGTTTAAAAATGAAATATAAGAAATCCTTAAGTATTCCACATACACTCAGTGCTTGCAATGCCAATCTAAACTTTGTAAATAGCAAATGTCTTGTTTACAACTGCTAGAGAATGAAGTCATGTTACCATGATTTAGCTATCTGAGAAAAAAGTTATTTATTCATAAAAGCCTATTCTTTTCCATTGTTGGTTATATAGTCCCACTTCATTTTTAAAAAGTTCTCTAGCTGTGAAATCCTCTCCTGGGTGTGACACTCTTTCTCTCCTACTGACCCTAATCGCTGACCTTGTGTCCCTATCTAACCTTTCTCACTGGACTACGAGCTCTATGCAAACAGGGGTTGGGTCCTTGCTTCTTTGAAGAACCCGAATGAGATTCTGTCCAGGTAACCCACAGACACAGAAGCATGCACCTACTCCATGTTTTATGGACATAGGCCTTTTGGGAGCCAACATTAGCTCTTTGGCTATAAGAATAGACCTGCTTAGTAAAATGAGAGCTATGGTGTACCAAAGGCTATTCAAATGTCCAAAAAGGGGAAAAAATTAAAAACAAAACTGTTTCCAGAACAATTCACAAACTAGAACAGTATGCGTCAATGAACATCTTAACCTCTTTGGAAGCCCTGGTGGAATGTTAATGTATATTTAATAATGCGAGTGAAGTAGCACACTTTTTGCAATCAGTTTTTCTCTAAGAAGATAACACTGCTGGTGAGCTGAATGTCAAATAAGGCTGGGCTCATACTTATTAACTTGGTACAAGTTATGAAACCTCTGATTCTCTTGAAAGACAAACTGCATTTGCTGGTTTGACTCTGAAATATAAAAGCTCAAATTTCAATCAATCCAGCAGCTAAAGATGACAGGAAATTTTGCAGGACTCTAAGGAATCTTCTTTTCTTATCTGGATCAGATCCCCACTGATACCTTGAGGTTTCTAAAAGCTGCATGCTCTGTCTTTGAGTCTTATCAGTTACTGTGTAATCAAATATCCTACTTGTGTTTTCAAATTTGATCAGGTGGGTTCCATCAGAAGGACACATCTTGTCAGTGCCTTTGGAGGCAAAGTGAAACCTCTGCCTCAATAACTGAATTTAATTCCTTCCTGTTGCTCTGTGGTGTCAAGATATATATTATTTTGTGTCCATGTTATCAGAAGTGCCTCACATGGGCTGCCGTGTAGAGTCTTGACTGTTCTACCAGTCCCTGAAAAGGAAAACTGACCATATCCTTGCTTGGGTGAACACTGCCACTTCAGGACCAGGCGCAAGGGCATTCTGTGTAACCCTGGAGAACCTTGAAGCAGCATCACGATACCTTCTAACAACAAACAAGCTCTCAAACAGTGCTTGTGTGGACATGAGGGCAGGCCCCGCAGACATGAGCTGCATAAACGCAGGTCAGAGACGAATGAGAAGGGTCAGGCAACTTTTGCCAACCTAGATCACAGTTACAGGTAAATCCTTGTTAGTAAGAGAAATGCACTTTGGTGTACATCATGGAATTTGAGAATGTGTTTAAGTTGTTGAGTATATGCTACTAATAATAATGTAGTCCCTTTCTCACGAGGATGGGCAGAAGGAATGACAAAGCCCTGAAGATGTTCAGTGTCCTTATGTCAGTATGACTGTAGCCCTTCCCAGCCAACCCAAAGGGCCCATGGGTTGGACATAAGAGTGCATCCAGCTGTTTTTGGCTGTTAGGTCTCCAGAAAGTCACTGTGTGCAGGTTACTCTTTGGGGTGGAAGTCTCTGAGCCGATAACTCTTAAGTCCAAACCTCCATAGGCACCATGGCTTCTTTGGTTCCAACAGAAGGCAGTAGGTATTCTCCAGACAAGAAATTAAAGGGGAACTGCACCAAGAACCCACGGATCTTTTTCAGTTCTTCCTCGGCTCTAACGGGATCCTCCTTTGCCAATATGGGCTTGGTTATAAAGTCTCTGAGCTGAATTAAGGTTTGCACTTCATCACTGGGAAGGCACCGGAACACCTGATTAAAACACAAAAAGGAAACTGAGTGACAAGTTTAAAAGAAAGCATATCCCATTTTTGGAAAATACTCATTCCAACAGACAAATCTTTGCTTTATGAAACACATATTAGTTTTGTGTTACAGCGCAGACCTGACTGAAGAGTTGCCTTTTTTATTTACTACAAAGAAACTGCCAAATTTGCTTGCTTCCAAAAATAAAGTCATAGGTAGATTCTTATATCTGATCTGCACAAATTATTAACCCCAGGAAAAAGTCAAGTTCATGGTAAGGAATTCCACTGATGAAATTATTTTTTAATAATATTCAATTCTTAGTTTCAGTGGAGGTTCTGGATTAAGAGGGAAATTGTATAATTTATTTTCTCTAACTTTTATTTTGAAAAATGTTCCTATCTGTACCTTTAGAGTTATCAATTGTATACTTATTTTGCTAATTGAAAATGAGTGTCAGACATCGTAACACTTCACTCCTGAAGACTTCAGCGTGCATTTCTTAAGAATGAGGATGTGTCTATACAATCACAATACCATTCTTACACCTCGAAAAATCAATTGCATGTCATTTAAGATGTGGTCCATATTCAGATTTATCCTATTATCCTCCAAATGTCTTTTATAGCTGTTATCATCCCAACCAAGATCCAAACAAGGCTATCCACAGTATTTTTAAAATTACATTTTAAAAGTCTCCATGGACATGACCCATTTGATCATGGCCTTGAATCTCAGCATGAAAGAAGGCTGTGTAGATAGTTGTCCTGTTTCACTGGGAACGATGAAGTCTCCGTGCTGGAAGGGGCTCTGCAGGTCATGAAGAGCATGCTCCTCCCCAATCTGACAGATGGTCAGTGGATCTCAGCTTGAATATCTGCTGTGATGGAAAGCTGGCTACATCATGAAGTAACCTTCTCCACTGTTAGACAATTCTTAATTCTTGTACATAATCAAAGGACATAACTTACCAGGAAATGCATTTGGCCTTCCTTAGAAATGGGGCTAGTTTTAATACACCTTTCCAAAATTAGAGCTGCCCAACAAAGGACGTGTCTCCTTATTAATAAGCTTCATTATAAGGATAACACATACTATACTATGTCATTTATATATATTTAACACATATATACTATGTGATAAGTACATTTAATAGACTATTCTTTATCTTTATAACTATCCTAGTGAGTACTCCTCCTAATTTATAGAAGAATGGAAGGCTCAGAATGTCAAGTCGCTATCCACAAAGTTATACTACCAGCAACTGGGTGAGCTGGGTTGAACCCAGGTCTGACTCATTTTTTGATCCCATCTGCCTGTTTTCTCTTTGTACGTCACCAGACATGTACAAAGGCTGGGTGACCACCTGCTAAGGGTGCTTATGGTGGATTTCTGAATCAGATGAGAGATCAGAGTGCCACTAAAGTATCTTCTAAACTATAACCCATAATGCTTTTTGACTTTTTGTTTTCTAATGTCTACAAACAGGTGTTTTATTACAACTTGGAGGTATATATTTTTTATACTCATTAAAAATACTCTGTACCAGTTAAATGCAGAAATAATGATGTGCTTTTGTGATGAAATTCAATGAAGAAAAAAGGGGGGGTATACGACACTTACCTTGTCATAAATTGTAGCATTTCGAGCTGCCGTTGAAACCCACACCTCCTTGAAGAATTTGTCACTCACTGGATCCTGAATGTCCTCACTTGGGTCAGAAAGATAGCCAAGGACAACCCTGAAATACAAGTGTCCTCCAAATTGAGTAACCAAGATAAAGCAATTTTGTTGCAGGCATTGTTTCTAGTTGTAACTTCATTAAAACTGTGTGTGTGTGTGTGTGTGTGTGTTTATATAAAAAACACAAGTTTCAAAACAAAATAAAAAGCCCTAAGTTGCTATGATGCTCAAAAGTTTTAACTGTTGGACAGAGAGAAAGGTCTTAATTTTGATCTAAGAGCGTCCTTGTAATTTGGCCTAAGTGGGCGAGAACCTTGGAGTGTAGGATTAGCTTTCACAACAAGTGCCAGCAAATGTGCTAAGCCCTTTCCAAGAACTAACTCAGTAAATCCTCAACAACCTTAGGAAAAAGCAACTGTTATCATCTTCATTTTATAGATAAGGGAACTAAAGCACAGAGAGGTTAAATAACTTTTTAAAGTCATATAGCTGGTAAGCTATAGATTCGGGACTCCAAACAGGACCATCTGACTCCCAAGCCTGTGCTCTTAACCATGATTTGATCTTCCTATATCCCCCTCCCTTCCTCTTTCCCTCCTCCCTTTTTTCCCCTCCCTCTCCCCCTCCCTTCTTTCTTTTGTTTGATCCAAGAACTATGCTGAGCTGTAGGGTACAGAAGTGAATACAAATGACATGGAGCCTCTCTGGGTAGATTTAAATCTGGTGGGTGAGATTAACAATGAATAAATAATCACCCTCAAAGGAATTAACTAAAATTTTGATAAATACAGGTGTGCTTTAAGAATATGAAATGGGCCCAGCCGGCTGGCTCAGCGGTTGAGCATCGACCTAGGATCCAGGAGATTGAGGTTCGATTTCTGGTCAGGGCACATGCCCGGGTTGCGGGCTCGATCCCTGGTGGGGAGTGTGCAGGAGGCAGCCGATCAATGTTTCATTCTCATCACTGATGTTTCTATCTCTCTCTCTTCCTCTCCCTTCCTCTCTCTGAAATCATTAAAGATATATTAAAAATTAAAACAAAAGAGTATGAGATGGGAGTAATTAGGGAGGCTTTGGATTTGTTTACCTATTTACCTAACCCCACCTACCATCTTTTAGAATTTAGTACAAAGTCATCTCTATAAAGTTTTTGATGGCTCCCATTTTCCAGTCTCCCATTTCTCCCTGTCAAGCCTGGGAGGTCTGAACCTTCTTCCTTAGCTCCCCACTCTAATTCATACATGCTTTATTTTTATCAGAGCACCTGCAACACTTTGTGCAATATTTTGTTTCTAATTAGTCCATCTCCCACTTCTAGCATATAAATTCTTTGAAAGAACATAACTTGGCTCCTCTCATATCCCCAGAGTACCTGGTGTAAAAGGAACCACATGCTGAATTGATCATATATAGACATGGGACTAGAAATAAGATTTTTCTCAAGCAAAGCAAGACAAGTTTTAGAGATCATATTTAAAAATTATAATCCTGTACTTATAGAAGGTCTTAGGGTTAAAAAGTACTTCCACCTTAATCCTGTATGGTAGATGGTACATGATTCCCATTTTGTAGATGGGAAACTAAAGTTTGGACAAATACTAGTAATAGAGCTAAAATTCATTGGAAACAGAAGGGGGAGATAGGCCTTAGGACTTTGGCCTTCACATTGAGTGAAACTGGGACATATTGCAGCCATTGGAGCAGAGGAGTGACAGGATCTGACCTGCATATTAAAATGTGGTTGCTGTATTGAGAACAGACTGTGCAGGGCGAGGGCTGGGATGAGAAGACCAGTCGGGAGTTACTGCAGTAATCTAGGTGTGGTGGCGAGAAAGGTTGAGCCAACAAGTTTTACTGATAATGGAGGTATAGGGTGTGAGGAAAAGTGAGGCATCAAGGGTGACTAGCAGGGTTTGGCTTGAGCAACTAGAAGAACGTGGTTGCCACTAGCTGAGACTGGGAATTCTGTGGGTAGAGCCAGTTTGTGGGGGAAACTTAGGAATCCTATTTTCAATCTGTTAAAATATCTATTAAACAGTCAAGTGGCAATGTTAAGCAGGCAGTTGGAAAAATGTGCCTGGAGTTTGGGAGAGAAGGCTTGGTTGGAGATAGAAATTTTAGAATTGTCCATATCTGTATATTCATAAAGCTGTGTGACTTTAACTGGGTTTCCCAAAAGGAGTGAGTATCGACAGAGAAGAGGACCTGGTGCACCTTGATAGTAGGGGAGGGGAGGAGTGGCCATCGAGGCTGGAGACAAGCCAGAGGCAAGGAGACCTGTGTCAAATTCAATGAGAAGCGGCCATTGACTGAACAGTGTGGCGGGCATTATATTGTTATGTCCCAGGCATCTCTGACACTATCAACTCCTGAAAAAGCCCAGCCAGTCTTACAGGAATAAAAAGCATCTAATTTCAGTGTTAGTCTGCATTTTTTCTGCTCTATAAAAATTCTTTAAAATAAGTGGATCTGGCACCATGGGCTCACTAGTAATCTCAGAGATCTGTAATCTCAAAATTCTATTTCCACTTTAAGAAATGTCTCCTTCAGACCATATAGGAGTAACTTTTAAAAAGGTCTGCGGGGATAATGTTTGAACATGGATGCTGCCGCTCATTAAGACCCAAAGCTAAATTTGACTGCAGCTGATCTGAGGGACTGTACAAGTTATAACAATAAGTCAGTTGTAATGATACCTTTGATTTGGGTCAGGTCTAACCAGCTGAAAACTGAGCGAAAAGAATATTTCTGTGGCTTTGCTTTTAAATGAGAACAAGAGGTAAGGCGATGTGTCTACCAAGGTATCAGTGAAGAGCTTGCATGTAGAAAAAGCATTTAAATAAGCCTGTAACCGACAATATCTAGTAATAAATTATTTTCCCTGTCAGTTTTTTAATGATAAGAAACTTAAATTGAAATGCACAGTGAAAATAATATGAAGGCTCTGGGTACTCTTTCGAGGACTCAGGCTCCAGAAAAAATGAGTTTGCTTTTGTGTTGATGTGTATAATGGCGATTATTTAAAGTTGAATTGTTTACGCATCAGTGGGACAGTAGAAAAACTGCAGAAAATGGCTTCTGTTCTTCCCATCCCTCACGTCTATCACTTTAAATGATTCTGACTCTACTCGTGTGGATAATGGTTTCTGGTGAGTGATGGGTACGTCTGTGAAGTTTGGATAATTTTCTAGGACTTAATGAACTGTTGGGCCCATAGTTGTGACATTCAGTGTAGCTCCCTGATGACTGATTCTACTTAGAATTGATTTCACATTAAAATGTGTCTCTCTGCTTTTATTAAAAAATAGATAAAAAATGGATTGAAACTGCATTTTTTAAAGAGAAAAAGAATGGCCACAATATTTATCTTTGAGAATATTTCCTAATAAAAAGAGCTAAAATTGACACAAGATTTTTGTGGCACTTTTTAATATATTATCTGTGTTTGCCACTGTGGCAAAATGAAAACAATTGTTCAAGAGCAATTGCCTCTTTAAGACAGTTTGAAAATTGCCAGGAAAAAGCAAAGCACCTAGGAATAAACTTAGCATAAAATGTATAGGATCAGTATTAAAAAATAAAAACAAAAAACCTCTAATGACTACTTATGAAAAACCCCTGCTCCCAGTAATAAGAACCCTTAAGCTTGTTGAATAACAAAAACATTTTTTGAATAAATTGAAGCCTATACCTTATTCTTAAATAGGACGATTCAATATTATAAAGATGTCAGTTCCTTTCATATTAATCCATAAATCCACTGTAATCCCAATTATAAAAATTAATAAGAGAACTTGATAAGTAACTCAAAAGTCCATGCGTAAGAATGAATATTTAAGAGCAGCCAAGATTATTCTAGAAAAGAATATTAATTTGGGGAAGTGGTATGGCAAGAAGTAGTATTAAAATGCGCAGCCACAATAATTAAAATGGTACCAAACGGCAAGTAAACAGGCTTTCGACAGAACATAATGGAGAGCAGAGATGTCAGGACAGGTGGCCACTGGGAGTATCGGCGGCACTGCAGGTGAGGGACGCAGGGCCCCTGCCGCACGTCATGTCTGCAGTTCTGGGCCAGCTGGTTGGCCGGGGGGAAATGTTAGAGTTCCTACCTCATTTGTTACACTGAAGTAAATTGCAGATGTTAAATGTAAAAAGTAGTATCAAATAAGCACTAGAAAAAATATAAGTAAATATTTAATTTCGGGCTGGTGAAGCTATTCCAAACATATAAGAAAAAGGGGGAGAAAAAAAGTCTGATAGATTAATTAATAAGAATTGAAGTTTCCCCTAAATACTTTAAATATGATTAAGAGGCAACTGAAAATCATATTTGCAACAAATGTGACATAGGAATTTATAATTACTTACAAATCATTAAAATAAATTTAAACATTCCAACTGGGCAAAGAACATGAACAGGTGAGACAACCTACAGAAGAACAGTTACATATGGCTAATGGATACATTTTTTAAAACCCTAAAAAATGCAAATTAAAATAATAAAATTCCATTTGAAATCCAACAAATTGGCAAAGACTAAATAAAATAATAGAACTCAGAAAAGATAGGCGGATAAGCCCTCTAAAACATTGCTAGTGACATGATAGGAAGTTAGAGAGCAAAGAACACTGAACACTTCCTTTGACCAGAAATCTATAGTTAGGACTTAGTTAAGGAAACAATTAAGAAGGTAAACAAGATGCTACCTATAAAGATACCCATTTTTTTAAATATCAGCAGAGAATCTGCCTATCAAGAGGTATTACTTAAAGGACTTATGGCATACTGATAGAATGCAATGCAATGCAGCCATTAAATGTTATAGAATATTTAATGACATGGAAAAGTGTGTGTAACATTACTTAAATAATAAAGAACATTGTAGAACTGCAAGATCCTAATTATATGTTTGTTTGTTTTTAAAAAGGAAATACAGTATAGCAATATATATGTGAGGAAAAAATGGAATGATATGCATCAAATGTTAAAATTGTTAGCACTGGATGGTGGGATTACAAATAAATTTGATTTTTTAATTGCTTTTCTGTGTTTGCCAAGTTTTCTGCAATGAAAATATGTTGTCATCAGAACGGTCTACTGCTATAATAATTATACATTTAGAAAGTTATAAAAAAGTCTGCCACTTTAAAGAAAAGACTTCAGTTCATGGAACTGAAAAGATATGACATTTATTTATAGTTTAGAAAAGAAATATATTTTTTCCTTGTCAATGCTGCTGTAGGCAATCAATGGGTTGATTAGCAGGTCACTAATTTTACTCTCCCCTGCTAAACAGAACATATTAGAAGTTAACTGAAATATCAATGGTTTGAAAAAATCCTACTGGCAAAACAATTAGTAACAAAAGCAATAAATACAGCAATAAAAATTGTGAGAAGGTACTGAGAGTCAAATTTTGAAGGATGGATTTGCTGAGCTCCTAGGGCAGAGAGAGCAGAGTGAACCACCTCTGGAACTGAAGATTGTATTAGTTTTCAAAAGCAGAGGCTGGAGTCAGGATTGAGGGAAACGGCCACTGGCATTTGCAGGAAGGTAGGTGCTCATTTTGTGCCCATCTGTAAGTGAACCAGTTTCAAACTCGAGCATTAACACCCCAAAGGTTAAAACAGTGCTATTCCATGTGTCTGTGCCATGCCTTTCCCCAAATAGCTGAAAGCACTGCCCTCAGACAGGGACACCTGCTGCCTCTCTCTGTGAAATCCAACCCTGGCAAATACAGTTCTAGAATCACTGTTGTGAATTTACTGAAAATGCCTAGAGGTGGGAGAGGTCGGGGTGTCCATAGACAGTGGGAGCTGAGCGTGCCTCAGTGAGCAAGGGAAGAGTGAGAGGAGGTAAGGAGCCAGAGCAGAGTTAGGTTCTAGAAGGATCACTGACCCCGGAGCCTAGACTACTAGGGCTGGGGTGGGGCTGGTTCGAGCCCAGCCCTAGAAAGTTCTCAGTAACAATGAAAGGAAGGACTCATTTTGGACCACATAGTCATTGCTTCCTAACCCTGTGTTCTCATTGCTTGACTTCAGATTTGTTTAAAACTCACACCTTCTTGCAGAAGGTCAGGAATCTTCCATGTCTAGAGTCATCTTCAATGAGAACCAAAGTTTCCACATTTAAATTTAACACCAGTAGTCTCTGGCGTTTACTTGAATAATTTTTATTATATCCTTGTATAAGATTACCAGAATGATTTCAATTTCTAAAAATAAACTCACTATAAAAAACTTAAATAGATACTAGATGGTTTGACCTGGTCCTAATTCCATTAATAGATTTAACATGCTAGTTTCCTCTATGACACATAAACGTAATAAAAACTATTAAAAGAGAAAACGCTTGAGCCGCACATAATGTCATTTCACGTAGTACTGGTAGTTCACATCCTGCATTCTGGGGGACACTGTTTTAGAGAAAGAAGAACCTGGAGAGGACACGAGAGGCTGGGCTGGGTTCCTGGGTCTGCTGCAGGAGAGCCAGCGAGACAGCTTGGAGGGCTCACCTGAAGCACTGCAGCCGAAGTCCCTGGGCAAAGCGGCCGGCTTCGTACTCTTTTCCATCCATCACTGAAGGGACTGTCTCGGTGTCCTGCACAATGATTGCCATTTCACTGTCGCGCTTTCCCAACATGCTTCGGTCGTTTATGTTGGCGGAGCCTGCGAGGAGAAACAGGGAGACTGAGCCACCTTCTCATCAGGGCAGACACTGCCAGCTGCCTGCCCACTCGACTCTACCTCGCGAACAAAACCCCAATTCTGTTCAGATTGTCAAGGGCCGCTGTGCTTCAAGGAGGGGGGCCTTCCCTAACCCAGGGGTGCACCTTGTCCAGTCTAAGCCAGCAGTTAGAATTTCATTATTTTGCCAGTGGGAGACTTAGGAATAGGCAGTGTGACATAAAAGCCTGCTAGGGGCTTCTGAGAAAGTTTTTCCGCCCCCTTTTATAAGCTTACACTAGACCAGGATGCTGTCCCTCCCAGCCTTTGGCTATGCCGGCGTCAGTGGTTGGACAAGACGTGATTCCATCCAAGGGCTGCTGCTGCCATTTTGCAACCAGTAGGAGGCAGGCAAACTGGAGATGGCAGAGCAGAAAGACAGACTCTGGGTCTCTAAGCCACTGAATTAGCCAAAGCTAGAACTTTCCTACTTTTCGTTATGTGAAACAATCCATTTTCCTTATTGTTTCACACACATCTAGCTGAACTTTCTATTTTGTGGTTCAAAGGAGTCTAACTAATACAATCATTAAGCATACAAAGAAAAAAAAGACATGCTTATCAGTTCGATTCAGTCCATTTTTAGATTTAATCAGACTCTGTAGACTTTAACTTATGGTCATATAATTATGAGCATCACAACCCAAGATGCCTTCCCAATCAACAGAGTCCACTCTCAAACACGGATGATCGTTAGTGGCTCTGGGTTTTCCATTCTCTTGCCTCACTTGTGTGGCACGCCAACAGCTTCTGTATCAGCTTTCCTCCATTCTATTTTTAAATCCAAATGAGCTGAGAATGTTGGCTCACATGTGAAGGGCAAGTATTTTAATAGTGGTTCAGCCTGTGCTCTCTGCGTTCCTCAGCCTCGTGTTCAGAAACCCCATCACGTTTTCTACATGAACCCCGGCGCATTCATTCCTTTGAATCCTTGAGGCATCCTGCAGACTACACCCTGGCTGATTCTTTTTTCTTCTCGCTCCTCTTGCTCTAGTCACATACTCCGCTGCCTCTGAGCATGTGGTGCACAAGGGTCGGGTTGAACAGGAGCTCTGGGGACAGTCAGGGTGTAAAGGTGACAGCAGCCCTGCCCTGAGCCCAAAGGGAATGCTGCACATGAGAAAAATCTGGCCCATCCTGAAGAGACTTTACTCCCATTTGCCACAATACTGTCATGTGGTTAACATACAAATCTATGATAACTATGGATGTGAATGGCGCCCCACAGTGACCCTGGGAGACAGAGGGAGGATGGAGCACCTCACAGACATTTGGGAGTACTGCTGGAAGCTGTAAGGTGACAAGACAACCTTTAAAGCACTTTGTTTTGTTAGCAACAAATAGTCCTTTATACCTGCACTTTTTGACTATACTAAAAAATCTACAGCCATGTCTTTGGGCTTGACAGTTAGTCTAGCATTAATGTGGGCAAAGTCATTTAATCTTTCTCAGCTTTTATTTGCTTTTTATAAATTGAGATAATAATATAGACCTTGTAGCACTGTAAATATTAAGTAAGATCATCCGAAAGCACTAACTAATCTATAAACTGCTCTATAAATGTTAATTATTGGCATTATCAAATACTTGTTAAAACTATAATATCTGCACCAGACAAGACTGCCATGGAAAGGGACAGTTTGTTGGCAAGTGGCATTTGTATCAGAGAAGCCTCCTCTCTGGGTTAATCATCATTCACCTTATTGGGTGAACTATAGCATGGAGAGGAACAAAGTTCCCAAGGTGTGGCTTTGGGACTTCACTACCCCTGGTCTCCAGCAGAGGCCCCTCGGGCTGCAGGTCACTACACTGGGTGGTCATTGCTGCTCTCCACTGTCAGGAAAAATGGGGATGGCAAGTCTACTCCACACACACACACACACACACACACACACACACACACACACACACACACACACACACACACACACACACACCAGTCTTCCAGGCTCCCTCCCACCAAGGTGGGACCTATTCCCAAAGGGAGAGAAATGCATTCCTGGCATTCTGACCTGGAATTCTTAGAGAGGGGAGTGGTTCTTATATTTCAAGGGCACTGACTCTCAACCACATTGAATAAGTGTTGGCTACTATTTAATAGGAATGTGAAGAAAGGGCTGAGAAAATTTTAGATGAATTTAATAAAAGAGATGTTGAAAATCAGATGTTGATTGATGTAAATGCTACCTCTATTCTTGTTAAACGTTCCCATATTCTGAAAACCAAATTCAGAACAGCAGATATAGCATTACTCCATTTCTACATAACATGAGAAAGAAGAGAGAGCAAGGCTCTAGAAAGACATACACTGAACTGTTAAGAAGAGGGAGTGACTTTTGGCAAAGAGAGGGAGAACAGTAAGGGGAATTCTGACCTTTTGCTCTCTATATCCTTAGAGTTTGAATTGTTTACAACAAATACACTTTGTATTCATGTAGTACTTTTTACAGTAACTACAATCTCTTGCCTTTATTAGGATGCTGCCTTGAAATTTTAAAACCACTTAATTTTTAGCAAATGACATTTTCTGAGTCTGGTAACATTAGGGAACTTTTTAAAACATTGTGAAATATGGAAAAATACAAGAGAGTATATGAAAACATATATATACAACTTAGGAATACTAAATCATCACTGAAAAAACAGAACATTATCCCATCCCAGAAGCCCTCATGTGTCTTCCAGGAGGGAGGCTTTATAGAGAATTTGGTGTTAACTATGCTCTGCATGTTTTTAGTTTAGATAAAGGGAATTGTACATAATCTTTTGAGATTTGCATATTTCATTCAATATTATGTCTTTGGGATTTATCTGTGCATAATTGTAATCATTATTTTCCTTGAATGAATACAACAGGACCTATTCATCCTACTGCTGATGGATGTTTGCCATTTCCGGAGCTTTGCTGTTACGCACAATCATGCTCCACATGGTGTGTGTGTTTCCTGGTGCACACGCAGGAGTCTACCTGGGCTCTGTCCGCAGGACTGGAGGCCTGGTGTTCCACAGCCTTGCCAATACTTGGATTGCATGACTTTAATTTTTGCTAATTGGTATTTTTAAAAGTTGTTCTTTGTCTCACTATTATGTTAATGAGGATGAACATCTTTCACATATCATGGGTCTCAGGCATGCCCTCTTTGGTGATGTTCTGATATAGTTCCTTTGCCCATTTTTCCTTGGGTGTTGTCTTTTCTTACTGATTTATAGGAGTTCTTTACATGTTTTGACTATTAAGTGTGCTGCAAATATCTATTTCAGTTTGTGGTTTATCTCTTTATTCTCTTGATGGTATCTTTTAATGAACACAGACCTGAATTTTAATGCAGTTGGACTTATCTATCTTTCCCTTTGTGGTCTGTGCTGCTTTTCACCTCTTGTGTCAGAAATTGTGAATCCTCCTGTGGTCAGCAGAATAATGGCCCCGAAAGAGCACCATGTCCGAATCTCCAAAGTCTGTGGATTTGTTGTGCTGCATGGCAAAGGGGAATTAAGGTTGCATATGGGATTAAGTTGTTAATCAACTGACCCTAAATTAGGGAGACTACCCTGGATTATCTGTGTGAGCCCAGTATAATCACAAGGGTTGTTAAAGTAAAGGGGATTCAGAGGGAGATCGCAGCAGAATGGGCTGAAACTTCCGAGAACTTTCAGAGACAGGCAACACTGCTGCCCTCAAAGATGGAGAAAGGGGGTCACGAATGTGGGCAGCCTCTAGAAGCTGGGAAAGACAGGAAAGGACTCACCCCTTAGAGCCTCCAGGGAGAAAGATGGCCCTGCTGACACCCTGATGTGAGACGCGTGTTGGGCTCCTAACCTACCGAGCAATCAATTTGTACTGTTTCAAGCCACCAAGTCTGGGGCTGTGTGTTATAGCAGTAAGAGACAAGGAACCAGCTCTGCCCTGTTTCAGCTTATTAAGGAAAACTGGTTCTTCTATTGAGCCCAAATCAGCTATTCTGTGTTTTCCACCCACTTGTGTTCCCTGTGCCTCCAATTCGGAAGTTCTCAGCTCATGAGCATCACCTAGGAAGCTTTTAAAAAATACTAGTGCCCAAAACAAAAACAAAAACACCTTCTTGGTGTCTGGGCTCCATACCAGACCAATGAGTCACAATTTCTGCAAGTAGAAACCAGACATTAGTGCTGTCCAATTCCACCCTATCCCTTCATCTACCCATCCTTTTTTTTTTTTTAATCTAGTTTAAGGTAAATTGCAGGCATGAATAAACTTCCCCCTAAGTGATATGTTTTTTGAAAGCTCCCCAGGCAATTCTAATGCAGCCAGCGTTGAGACCCAAGACACTAGATCAAGTGTAACACCCCTTGACTGAGGCAGCCCACCGACTACAGACGTTCATCAGTCACTGGAGCCAGTGCAGTTTCTCACCCACCCACCCTCGCCGATCGCTCCCGGGCCTTCCTGCTCTGGTTCTGCAATACCCACGTGGATGTTTCTGGAGTCAGGTGGAAAGGACACCCGCCGCCTCCACCCAGGGGTTCATGGGGCAGCGGCAACGTCTGATCCCTGCTTTCCAGCTCCCTACTGTGCGCGGCGGACACGGAAAAACCGGCTCACTGAGTCCACGGGACAGACTGAAATTCTGCTTAAGGACAGCCTGTTTCATTGGGCAAAGCAAACACATGTGCACTTGGCTCAGGGACTATGAAGATAGATTAGAAGCCTGGATTGGTCACAAGTTTCATAACCAGCAGGGTCACCCAGGCCAACAGATAATGAACGAAATACACAAAAGAGACTCAATGGGAGCAAACGAGTATTTCCTCAGGAGAAAAAAGTGAAGATAAACAATTACTAATTTTCCTATGCCAATTCGCCAGTAATTCTGGCGTAAGTCTCCCATGTTAGGAAATTTAACTTTTAAATTTACTTTAACTCCTTTTAAGCTTTCAGATACTTGCTTAATACCTGTAAAACATTCTTGTTTGGTTTGGTTGGGTTTTGGGAACCCTCACCCGAGGATATTTTTTCCATTGATCTTTAGGGAGAGTGGAAGGGATGGGGGAGGGGGAGAGAGAGAAGCATTTTTTCAAGAGAGACACGTGGAGCCTCCGGCTCTCGAACCCTGGCTGGAAATCGAACCTGAGACCCTTCGGTGCTGGGGCTGACGCTGTAACCACTGAGCAGCACTGGGCAGGGCAATACTGTAAAATATTCGTAACATAGCTCCTCTCTGAGAATTTTCAACATTGTTCTCTGTGTTATGAACTTAAACAGGGCTCAAGCGTGAGAACAGCCGCAACTGCTCGCTCTTAGAGTTTCCACTGAGATAAAGGAACAAAAGTGCCTTTGGAGTTGTCCAGGGGGAAATCTGTTATGCCCTTGAGGAAGGAGATAAAGAAATCCAGCCCCTAAAGGCCTCTGCACACTCTCAAGGCCACATCTTTGGTTTCAACAGAGTGGGCAGGAATTATAGGCAAGATTAATCTATTATTGCCAGCCTGGAGAAACTGTAGCCTTTGAGGGTTCAGAGACCTTTCTAGAAAATAAGTCAATTAAAACACTCAGCCAACCTATTTAACTGATAGCTCTGTTCCTGAAAACTACTTTGCACGCATACTTTATGTAAAATAAAGCAGGCTGAAAGTCAAAATGACCTTTAAAGGTAAAATATTTACATCTGTCAATTTTTACTTCCAGAGTTCTGAAATCTTTCTAAAGACATCGAGTGCAGTTTATTTCTCTATGTTTGCTTTTCTCTTTCAGCAGTCATCAATATTTCCCCTTCCCATTGCCACTGCCAAATTTAATATAAATATATTCTGAGACTGGTTTCTGAAGAGCGAGGGCAGAGTATCTTGGGAGAAATAAGAGAAACCCTGTTATGGGGGAAAGAGGGGAGTAAATAAATCCCTAAAGAGCTCTGATCCCTATAGAGCAAGAGATCAGAGACACAAGACATTTTCCTTGAATGTCCTGTAGGTGTATTAAAAGTGTGTGTGTGTGTGTGTGTGTGTCTGTGAGAGTGTGAGAGAGTGTGAGTGTGTGTGTCAGAGTGTGTGTGTGTGTGTGAGTGTGAGTGTGTGTGTGACCACACTGCGGTCTACACATTTTCTGGCTTCAGAACTAGTTCTTTCTTTTCAAATCATGTTTCAGATAAGACAGTCTCATTACTCCTAGAAATGAGATTCCCCCCCTCCCCCACCCCGTTCTCGGTGTAGAATAAACATATTTACTGCCAAAACATTTCAAAACACTCCCTGACATTTACTTTGTTAAAAAATAGGGAAGTATCTTATAACAGCTGAAAAACTGCATTTCCTTTAAAACCGATGAGCAGAATCCCCAGCATGGAACGCACTGTATCTCTAAGTGGCAGACCTTCCACCTTGTCGACTCATTTACCCCGCTGATTAGCAATACTGTTTCTCATCCTGGCCTTTCAGTGTACGTGAAACATAACATTAGAAAGCAAAACAATTCAACGATGGGAAAATAAAACTTTCCATGTGTGTAAAATGAAGCTGACCACCCATCCCTCTGGGCGAGTTGATCTAATCTGGGTAGAATGTACAACCAGTAGCTGCCTCCCTAATCTGTTGACGGGAGAGAACTCTGGAGAAATCTATTGTGTATCCTCAGCAAGAAAAGAGTGCTGACCTTCGTCTAGGGCTGCCTCATATCACTACTTCACAATGCCCCCTGACCACACTCACACCAGCAAAACTGGCCCGCCCTGCATCCTGTTTAATGACACCCAAAACATAGACTCTAGGGAAAAAACAGAAAGCACGGAGGCACCGGTATTTCTATATCCTTCCCATTCTGACTGCTGCCCACCTTCAGAGCTGTGAAATGGTTAGGTGGGTGTGGTGCAAACACATACAAATTACTACCAAGCACTCACATTTGTGATGCATTTTCCCTCCCCATTTCTCCCCCTTCAAGTCCCAAAATGTAGGTACTTGGATTCAATGAAAACAGGGATACTAAAGAATTAAAGAGAGCAGGCTGATCGCTGCACTGCTGAGTCACAGTGCTGCCCTTGGATGCTGTAATCTGCACAATGGCCATTTAATTGATCTGTGCCTGTGTTTCTTCATAGATTAGAAACAGGGATTAGAAAGGTTGTAAATAAAAAGGATGCTTTAGAAATGTTTTCAGATAGTATGTTACTGTCCCTCTCAACTGCAAAGGAAGCTTGGGAGGAATATAAAGGTTTTTGCATGATATGAGTCAACTAGCACGAAACACAACTAGAGACCATCTACTTACCAATAATAACAGTGTTGTCATCAGCAATTAGCAACTTGCTGTGAACATAGATGAGCTCAGTGACTAGGTTTCCTTCAAGCTCTGCGTGTGTTCTTAGGCCACAGAATGATATGTAATTTATCCACTGATTGCCAACTGTAAGTTTAAAAAGAAATTACTAAAATTAATATGGCCAAGCTCAATAAACGCACATTAAATTTTATCAGGATATACTACTTAAATAGATTGCTAAGAATAGATAGCATTGCGTGTGTGTGTGTATGAATATGCATGTGTGTGTAATTTCAGAATTCGCTCAGGATCTATTTCTGCTATCTGAAGAATTTTATACTGTTGATCTGGTGCATATACATTAAAAAAATCATACTGAAGTGTTTTCAATGTGTTTCCTTTGCTGGGGCAATCAAAAAATATACTTAGATATGAACATTTTATTTTAATGATTTGGTGAGTAACTACTAAAGTGTGCTAACTAAACCTGAGCCAGAGTAGATAACCCGAGACTTTGGTGTGACATTTGCATCTCCCTTGGCTGACACCTGCTGCGGTTTAAATCAGATGCACGATGTGTGCCCAAACTACCTGATGGATGCATAGTTTGTAGCATATTCAGCACAATGGAGCAGTTAAATTTTACAGACTTTGGGTAAATAAAGATGTTGGCAATTAAATAGCACTCCTCCTTCTAAATTATTAAAATTGGAAATGGAGGCATCCTGGCTACATTGGGCTTTGGAGCCTTTTCTTCAGAGCGAGCGGAGCTGGGTTTGTACTTGAATGCGCTGCCCACTCGGCGGGTGAGAGCCATTGGGGTGGTGAGAAGCGCACCCCACAGCAGGCCGACCCACGATCACCGCCCCCGTGAGCGGCGGTCACGAGATTGCACGGTCCCTCTCCCACATAGCAGCTGTCCTGGATAAGCAAAGTCTGAGAGTGGAATCAATAAAGTGGAACCAAACCATCACAAATTCTAATAGAAAGAGAGTGTAAATCTTTGTTTTCCTTTACAAGAATCTAAAGCATTTTAACCGTTGGAACCAAGGGAGTTCATGTCCCATTTACTGACGTTTCCACGTAGTATTAATGTTTTCTTTTTTATTTTACCGCTGATGTTATTCAGTGTTTCTATTAAATATGGGTGTCTTGGAAAGAAATTCATTCCCAGGTTATACACAGAGATTCCTCCGCTTACAGAGAACCCTTCCTTATGCGTGTGGGTGATCTTCCAGCTGTTTGCCAGGGGCTGGTGTGCTGCTGCATCCTGTGTGGGAGCTGTATTTCTAAACAGTTACATGTAAAGGAAATATTTGCAAATACATTTTTTCTACATTTGTTAATATATTGGAAAGATGTTCTGTACAAAGCACGGCCTCTTCTTCGAAGAGAGAGGAGAGCATTTCCTCCTCTAAGCCCTTCATGCCTGTAAATTTCCTGGGAAACATTTCTAATATGATGTCTAATATATTCTTTTACAAACATTTATTAATCCTCCATTCTGCCTACTGTTGCAGAGGTCTTTGTATCCTTGCAGAGTGCTAAAAAAGTTGAATAAATGAGTGAATCGATGAATGGATAAACAGGGAGGTTTCCAAATTAAATGTCATGGAGATATTTGAGAATCTAGAGATTTATACAGGCCCCTAGGACGTATCTGTTATTAACACTGGTACATATACACCTCAAAAAATGAGAAAGTCAATATAATAGACTCTAAATGTTTGCAAGGAAATTCTGGGAAAGGACTTCAAGAGTTGTTACAGGCTTTTGTTACTTAAAAACTTATAGCCCTTCATATGGGTACATTTCTAATCCTGATTGAAAACCTCTAGATCTTCTGTTAAATTATACTAAATTCAATGCTAAAACGCCACAATTCACAACAATTATAAAGATCATAAAGAAATGCTTTAAATTAAACACTAAATCCCTGAAGATTGGCATATCAGATAATTACACACTAATAGCTGCTGGTTTTCTTTTCAGGAATTTTAACATATTCACAGCAGCAGTTTTGCTATTTTTAAAGAACTGAAATGGTAGACAACTGTAGTTCTCTATCCAATTAGAGATCAGCTAGTTCATATATTTAAAACCCACTATGCATTTACAAAAAGAAAGTCAACAACAGAACGTTGTACCTCAAAAAGGGGTATTATGTAATTAATCTGTTCCCCCGTTTAGAGTAGGAACATTTTGCCCACTGAGATGTCAGCTTTTGACGTGTTCCCAGGGTACTTGGAAATATTTTCATAAGAGGGTTTAACATTGAAATTACTTCTTGTGTTAAAATCCAATTTTTCCCCTGAATAGGCAAAGGCAGGAAAAGGGTCCAGAGCCAAAGGAAATGCTTTATAATAAGCTGAGGCCATTTTTATGGTTGAGAAACTAAATAGGCTTGTTCTAACTTTTTATTCTCCTATAACCTCACTTTTGCACTTCACTAGCCACGGGCAGCACTGAATGTCTTTCCTGATTCTGTTTTATCAGTATATCTTTTAGAGACTTATTCATTCACTCTTATCTTCATGATAAGCCATTAGAAAATCGAGTTAGGGAAAGTGCTCTGGTATATCTTCTCTGTCCTGGATGCAATTATATACAACTTTGGAGAGTATTTATTGTTGGTGATGTGCATGTCTTTATGTCTAAAGTTGTTTCTAAAGTTTTTTAGACTGAGCAGACCATTAGTAAAAAATTACTGAACACTCAACACATGTACTAAAAGTTTAATTCATTATTTTAAAGCTTCCAAATCATTTAAAACTCCTTATACCATAAAATTCACTCTTTTAAAGTATTCAATTCAGTGTTTTTTAAAAAGTATATTGACATGCTATATGATTATCACCACTATCTAATGTAAAGACATTTTTATTATCTCCAAAAGAAACACCAAATTTATTAGGAGTGACTCTCATTCCACTCTTTCCCCAGACCTCGGCAATGACTGATCTACTTTCCTGTATGTTAAAATTTTTCGTAAAAATTGGAAGTATACATTATGTGGCCTTTTGTGTCTGCTTTCCTTTCACTTAACATAATATTTTCAAGGTTCATCTATGCTTTAGCATGTATCAGTACATTCCTTTTTATATCTAAATAATATTCCATTATATGATAAACACATTTTGTTTCTACATTCATCAACTAATGGGTATTCAGGTTGTTTCCACTTTTTGGTTATTATAAATAATACTGCTATAAACATTTGTGTACAAATTTTTGTATGGACATATTTTCCCACTCTCTTGGGTATATGCTATGGAGCAGAATTGCTGGGGTCATATGGTAACTCTGTTTAATTTTTGAGGCATTACCAAACTGCTTTCCAAAGAGCCTGTACAATTTTGAATTTCCAAAAGTAATGTATGAGGTTACCAATATCTTCATACCCTTGTTAATACCTTTTTTATTTTTTAAGTTATAGCCATCCTGGTGGGTATGAAGTTGTATCTTGTGGTTTTTATTTGAATTTCCCTAGTGACTAATGTTTAGCATCTTTTCATGTGCTTATTGAGCATTAGTATATCTTCTTTAGAGAAATGTCTACTTAGATCCACAGCCCAATTTAAAAATTGGATTATTCTTCTTACTGTTGACTTGTAAATGTTCTTTATATATTCGAGATACCAGTCCCTTATCAGATATACAATTCGCAACACATTCTCCCTAATGGAGGAAGCAATGGTTTCTTGGATTGTACACCAAAAACAAAAACTTAAAAATTGATAAACTTCATCAAACATAAAAGCTTTTTTGTTCCAAAGGACATATAGCAGAATGGTTTCTGATGAGAAATTACCTGTTAATCTTACTGATTATTTGCTTCTCCTTTGCTGCTTTCAAGGTTCTCTTTTTGTTTTTCCCTTTCACTGTTTTGATTATGATGTGTTTTGGTGTGGATCTCTTTAAGTTCATCTTACTTAGATTCTGTTGAGCTTCTTGGATGTATAGATTCATGTTTTTGTTTTTATAAAATTTGGGAAGTTTTCAGTTGTTATTTATTTAAATATCCTATCTGCACTTTTTTCCTCTTTCTTCTCCTTCTGGGACTCCCAATATGTATATATTGATGTGCTTGATGATGTTTTATAGGTTTTCGAGGCTCTGTTCATTTTTCTCTATTATTTTTCCCCTTTGTTCCTCAGACTGGATACTCTCAATGAACCTATCTTCAAGTTTATTGATTCTTCTGCCTGTTTCAATTTGCTACTGAGCCCCCCTAATGTGCATTTTATTTCAGTTATTATACTTCTGACCTCCAAAATTTATACAGGGCAGGGCAAAAGTAGGTTTATTGTTGTGAGTAGGTGAAACACAGTTTATTCTTGTATTATTACTTTGCCCCACCCTGTATGTAATTCCTTCTTTTTAATAAAAAATTCTTATAGAAACTTTTTAATTAAAAAATTCTACTTTTCTATATTCTCTATTTGAGGAGACATAGTTTTTATACTTCCTTTAGTTCTTTACATACCATTTCCTTTAGTTCTTTTAACATAGTTAAAATAGTTGTTTAAAGACTTTCAAACTGTCAGGTCAAATTATGACAATTCTTAGAGTTGTCAGTGTTCAGGAGCTTCAAGCCCATTCAGTTCTCTTCAGTGGTTGCTAGGCTGTTGGTTTTCATAGTGATGAGTTGGTTTCCAAGGCTACTATGGAACTGAGGAGAGGGGGATGGGTATATGGCAAATTAAAATGCCACAAAGCTCACTGCTTTTACCAATATTCTTCTATCTTTCTTAAATAAACACTCCTCAGACTGTCATATGCCTTTGGTTAATTTCCAGAGTTCTGAAAAAGGTGACTTTGGCCATTTTTGCCAATGTTTTTGTTATTTTTATGTAGGAGTGAATTTTTGGAAATTCACGTACTATGCTATTCCTAGTGATGACCTAATTCTTTAAGTGATATAAGGTGTTCCCCCAAAATGTATACAGGAAGTGTTTATTAAAATACATTTCATTTTCAAAACTGAGCTATAAGCTGTTAAAGTGTATATACATTTTGGGGGACACCCTGTATACATGCATGGAAGGACTAATATTTTCTCCCCAAATTCTGATACATTATCTAGTGCATAAAATCTTCAAAAAAAACTGAGGTTATTAGCATATCCAAAGGCCATACCACATGGCATCATATTATTGTGATAGCTCCTCCTGACTTTTTCAGATTTCCTTGTAGCAGTTCCATTCTCCTGATCAGTTAGATTGAAACTCTTAGGATTATCTGATATTTCCCTTACTCTCTACTTCCATAACCCCTCAAGTCTTCTTCACAGTCATATTCATACATAACCTTTCTTTCCATTACCAATGTGCATTATCTCTCACCTGCTACAAGTCTCTCTTTACTTTGCTTACCAATCTCACTTCTCAAAACAATTATTATAAATAAATATAAATAATAAAAATACATTATAAAATACTCTCATTTTTATTACCTATACATCTCAAGTCATATTATCTTCACTTGAACAATTGGTTTGGACAATCTAATAAGAATAAATTGATCTCTGTTAAGTATTTCACAGGATACCTTTTGTAAACAGAGTTCTATCATCACGCTGTGAAAATACGAATGAGTATTAATATGTCACCAAAACAACCATTGAGGAAAAGAACAGCAGTTACTTACGCTCTGTTTTTAATTGTCCAAGGATGGAATTTTCTCCTCTGCACATGGTCCTGAAAATATGTAAAGAAAGAAAATCATTATGAAGGTTTCAAAGGAACCAATCCCAATTTTGGGGATTTAGTCCTAGTCCAAGTCAAAACAGAACAAGTGCTTTTATAAAAAGATGTTACATAGATTTTTTTTAAAGCTGAAGAAACCAACAAATAACCAATTTTGCAATGTTACTGATGGAACGAGGTAGTTGTTTTGAGGTGGGTAAATGGAAGTTACAAAATTTATTTCAGAAAGAGATATTATTTTTTTAAATGCAAACTTTTATTTATTTATTTAATTTATTTTTTAATATATCTTTATTGATTTCAGAGAGAGGGAGGAAGAGGGAGAGATAAAGAAACAGCAATGATGAGAGAGTCATTGATCGGCCCCAATTGAGAATCGAGACTGCAACCCGGGCATGTGCCTTGACCAGGAATTGAACCACGATCTCCTGGATCCTAGGTCGATGCTCAGCCGCTGAGCCACGCCCAGCTGGGCAAGAGATGTTATTTTTAAAAGGTGGATTATGAGTGAACTTTCTTTCTTAGAAAATTTGTTGACAGTGAAGATAAATTTAGAATACCTCAATAGATAAGAATACTTACGCAATCACATTGCTTTCAGAGGTGAAAAGGACAAAAACTTAGTAGAATAATTTTGGAATTAAAGAAACTATCATACTTGGGCTGTCTCTGTAAAGTCAACAAACCCCTTAAAAGTGAAAAATAGAGTCTCAAATAACTGACTATTAACGATCTTGTTTCTCAAGACTCCGATAATAGTCTGAATTGTAAAGAGTTACAAAACAAAACATTCTATGCTCCATCTGCTTGTTTTATGAAAATGATTAAAAATACAGTTATGCCTGGGAAATGCTGATATTATTGAAGATGATGCCAGCAAATAGAGATGTTTTTGCATAATAAAAGGTTATAGTTTTAGTTGCTGAACAAAAGCCAAGCATGTGATTTCATTCAGCTGGTTCAAACCCAAGAAAATAGTCACAAAAAATAATTACAATTGACAATATTCCAGAAAGTAACATTATAATGGCAAATAGAGTGGTTAATATCCAGTTAAACTTATGTCAGGGCCTTAAATACTCGAAAAGCTTTGTTTGTCATGTTATCAATCAGATGATAAAAGAAAGGGGCAAAGCTTCAGAGCGTATAGACCAAACCACAGTTAAAGTTCTCTCATACTGTAACCAGGCAAAATTAGTCAAGAGGAGACAAAGAAAAAAAATCTTTACTTGAAACCCTGGCAGACAGACAGAAGCTTGAAAAGTCTGAGTGAAACAAGAGGCTTAAAAAAGAAAGACTTTTACCACAGTGGGGTACTCAAACTGTGCACGAAGACCCCTAGATCCTACAAGGGGTTCCACTCTAAGGGGGCCCCGGTAGGAAGGCATCGAAGCTTCCATCCCCAATTTGACCAAGGCTCTGACCCCTTATCTGCTTTATGCACAGGGGGTTCTGGGTAAGGTCTCGTTTGTCCTCTAAAAAGGGTTTGATTATAAAGGTGGTCAACTACAGGCGGCTCTGAAATATGAGGGATATTCAAAGAAAATACCCAGGTTGTGGTCCTTGCTTTGCCTTATTAAGCGTGTGATCTTGAGCAGTGCTCTTTGTACCTCAGGTCCAAAGCTTGTAACTGGGAGCTGGAGTCACGCCCAGGCCTGACCATTTGCTTCTTTACTCTCCTTCTCTTCCCCAGCTACGTGACCCCGAGAGATACCCGCCTCTCCACACCTGGGCACCAGCTAGTACCTCTCACCCCTCTTCAGGATGCTCTACTGGCCAAGGCCAAGGCCTCAGGTGACCTTTTGAGTGACCGTGGAAACTCTGCTTTTTAGAATATCAAGCATAGGACTTACCACTTTCCCTATAACTTTAACTAAGATGGGATAGAGAAAAAGAGTTAAAATTTCAGGAGATGGAAAGAGCCTCATGCTTCGCTTTTCTAGCAGAGACTATTATTACCAACCTTGTTGAAGGATTTGCTACCTAGAGAATCATCAACAAACATGTACAAATCATAGCATTTTAAGCACTCTTTCTTTATAACTGCAAAGAATATAGAAAAGTCAAAAACTATTTGGTAGCTTAACAATGATTTAAAAATCAATATTTATATATATGATATATATTACACATATATTTTATCTAATATATAAAGTCCATATTTATAAGATCTGTATGTATATATATACTGTATAAATATACATACGTATAAAATATATATGAATATAAAGGAGACTAATATAGTTCTTTAGTATATATAAATATATATTATAAATGGACACAAGAACTCTTTGTATATATTATTTTATATTTTGTGTATTACATTATATATATTTATATGTAATATGTATCATGTGTTGTATTTATAATTATATATCATATATATTATAAAAATTATATATACATACATACTAGGAAACAAATAAAAAAGAGACTAGTATTTTAGTTTTTTTATACTTTCCATGTGTCCTAGGCCTACCATTTATGATTTTAGTCCTATGTGAATGTTACCAACTAGTAAACAGACCAAGATTCAAAGTAAAATAAAGAAAAGTGTTCATTTGTTCAACAGTGCACTGAATAGATGTGGACAAACATTTCCATTCCTTCCACCAGCTCAGGCGCGTGACTGATTGAGAGCTGAAAACAGACGACGTTAGGATTTTGGCACCTGAAGTTGAAGTGCATTATTGCCTGGAGAGCGTTTCCTCCACCAGTTGAAATGTCTCCTTCGAACCCGGGCAGAAGTGGTATCACAACATACACTCGGTATCTCTGGCTTTCCCTGCAAAAATCAGACACAGACAGATTCAACAACAACAAAAATGATACATACAGTAACAGTTTAAAAAGACAGCCAAGTATTTCACATGGTTTTAGAGACTGAGGTAATGGCTTCCTGCAGTATATTCCATCACATCTCAGGGCTTCAGGGCTGCTTTTGGATTGGAAGCCAGAGCTATTTTCCAGGCTAACAGTTCATAACAAACTGAAAAATAAGCAAACTTGACAGTAAAGTGGGAATTGTACCCACTAGCTCTCTACAGCATAATCCTTCTAGGACAAAATTCATTGTAAGAAGCCTTGCCTAAATCCCATGGAAGGAGTGTGCGTGTGTGTGTGTGTGGGGGGGGGGTTATAATAAAATTTTCAAAAAGACTGTCATAATAGTTTTATGTGTGACAAGTTCTATCCATAGCTATATCCTAGCTCAGAGCCTGGCAAATAGCAGGCAATCAGTAAATGATTTCTCACAGCTCAGATCTGTAGGGCAAAAAGACATACTAGACCTACTGGATTATTTTCCAGTGATGCAGACATCATCATTGTTTAGAAACTAGTTCAGCTCTGAAAGTTCTGGTTTAGAGGCAAAATGTTTCCCTGGGTCCTTCAAGAATTCTGGGTGACTGATGATTTTTAAATCCTCTACATATATAACACAGTATTTTGGGGCCCACTCTCACAGCTGATTAATGACAGCCTTTGGAAGAAAAGCTGTTGAGTGGCCTTAACACAAACAGAAGAACGTGTGGCTCCTTACTTTGATCTACATTCAGAAAGCCAGAAATTTGGAGAATTATGCTCAAATAGGTATCGCTTATTGGGACGCAAAGCTATTAGAGTCCTTGTCTCCATTTGGAAGATACGCAGGAAGGAGAGAAAGCCTGGAAATGACTGTGGTACCCATTGTGGTTGGAGTCTCAGTCATATATCTCAAGAGAGCTATATTCATACAAAGGGGCTAACTTTCAAGTCAGATCTACTTAAAGTTTTCATAATACTTAATTTCTAAAGTTCATTTCTTCTAACAACTACATTTTTCTTTCCTGTGAATATTATTACTGTTCTTTGAGGGGTCAGGCTTCATTACTGATGTCTCTGAATGCCAATGTGTGTATCAAGACATGTGGAAATTGAAGTTCAGGGCAGAAGTGACGACCAACAGGAGTTTGAAAGCCTGTGAGCTTAACTGGTGCTGAGAAACCAGGAATTTTAAGTAGGTTGTTGTAATGGCATGGATTAATCACTAGATGGCAAACATAGTTTGAGGTGGAAAATAAACCATTAAAAAAATGCGAACTCTTCAAGTTCTCTTCCTGATAAGGCTAAGAGGCTCATATCCCTAAATGGTAAACGGGGTAGAGGAAAAGAAGAACAAACAGAAAGAATACACAAGCTATTTCCCCATAGTCAACATTTAAAAGCCCAAACCAATTAAACTGGACACTTAAAAATGGACACCACGAGGCCTCCACTGCGCCTTTCCAGAATGAGCTTCGGTATGATCCACCCAGACCCACTGTCCCTGTGCTCAGGGAGGCGCCTCCTTACTAAGGAGGGTTGGCTCCTCTGCTCTCTGAGTTTGGAAATTTCTTCCCTGCCTCAGGGAATCTCACTTCTTCCAGGGCAGCTAAAGGGCCCCTTCCGCGGGCAAGCCATCCTGGATCTCCCAATCCAAACTGGTTTGCCCCCGCCTCTGTGTTCCCAGGGCCCAGTGCCAGAACGTCTGCTCACATGCTTCTGGCCTTACGCAGTGGTGATACACATACTTGCTGCCTAGGCTGTGATGAGCTCTTTAGAAATACAGGACATATGTCCACATATCTTTCTATTTTTGGCAGTGCTCAGTAGAGGATCCTTGCACACGGTATGCACTTGGTGCTATTTTCTTTGGAAGGATGAGGTCAGGCTGGAAGAATGTTTCTGGGAAGGAAAGGTTAAGCTGCACAAGACATTTTTCTTTAAATTAAATTACGTTTTACTTGATTTTTTAATTGTGTATATCTATATATCTATATCAAATTGGCTATTTGAACCATTTTTAAGTATACCATTCAGTGCTGTGCGGCCACATGCTGTGCGACATCATATTGTGGATGCTGAGAAAGAAGACACCTACTAAGAAGGGCTCCTGGTGGCCAGCTTGGCTCAAATTAAAAACAAAACAAAACCTAGCAGCCATTTCCGAACACAGGCCTCTCATGGAAACTGCACTTCAGGGAGAGGCCTGCACTGAACTGCCTGTCTGCACTGTTTCTGCCCTCTGAGCCATCCCTTAGAAAGGAGTTCCTGGAGTCCTATTTCAACCGATAAGACTGAGGCTTAAGGCCCCATCCAATAGGAGACACACAGCTCTGACCGACCAGAGCTGCTCTATTCTGATCAATCAGGACAGTGGCTTTTGGACCAATCAAACTGCAGAAAGTAGGAGTCTACTTTCTGTCTCTGTGGATTGACTATTCTAGGAATTTCATTATCTAAGTGGAATCATACAATATTTGTCCTTTTGTGTCTAACTTATTTTACTTAGCATAATGTCCTCAAGTTTCATCTATGTTGTGGCATGTGTCAGAATTTCCTTCCCTCTTATGGCTGAATAATATCCCATTGTATGTATAAACCACATTTTGTTTACCCAGTCATCTGGACACCTGGGTTGTTTCCACCTTTTGGCTGTTGTGAATAATGCAGCCATGAATGTTAGCGGATTGTATCTGAGTTCCTGCTTTTAGTTCTTTGGGTACGCACCCAGGAATGGCATTGCTGGATCATACAGTTAGTCTAAAGTATCCTTTGACAGATGACTGGATAAAGATGAGGTGCGTACATACAGTGGGATACTACTCAGCCATGAGAAAGGTGAAATTCTGCCATTTGTGACAGCATGGATGGCCCCTGAGATTATCATGCTAGGCGAAGTAAGTCAGGAAATGTCAAGAGTCGTATTTCGCTCATATGTTGGATATAAAACTGAAAACAACAAATGAACAAATAAGATAGACAAAGAAACAAAAACTCACAGGCACACACAACAGTATGATGGTTACCGGGGGGGGGGACAGTAAAAGGTAAAGGGAATCAAATATATGGTGACAGAAGAATATTTGACTTTTGGGTGGTAGGCACACAGTGCAATATACAGGTAATGTATTACACAATTGTACACCAATGTCATCCCAATAAATTTAATTTAAAAATGCAACCCCCTTCCCCAAATTCTCTTTCACGCCTTTGTTCCTGGCCCCATTTCCTCTCCCTGAGAGCAACTCCCTCTACCTTCCATGTTCTGTCAGAACAGTCTATGAATTTATAAGCATATATATGTATTCTTTCCTTATACACAAATATTAGAATCCTATAAACAGTTTTCTGAATGTTATTTGTATCATTTATCAGTGTATCCTGGAAATTCTGTTCATACAGACTGGCCGTTTTTTTTAAATCCTCACCTGAGGATATTTTTTCCATTGCTTTTTTAGAGAGAGAGAGAGAGAGAGAAACATCCATGTGAGAGAGACACATCAATTGGTTGTCTCCCACATGTGCCCCAGCCAGAGTGGAGATTGAGCCTGCAACCAAGGTACGTGCCCGTGGCTGGAATTGAACCTGGGACCCTTCAGTTCATGGGCTGACACTCTAACCACTGAGACAAACTGGCCAGGGTGAGAGTTACCCTTTTTAAAAATATACATATATATATATTTTTTTAATTTTTTTTTTTACTGAGAGAGAGAAAGGGAGAGGGAGAGAGGGATAGAAACATCAATGAGAGAGAGACATTGACCAGCTGCCTCCTGCATGCCCCCCACTGAGGCTCCAGCCTGCAACCCGGGCATGTGCCCTGAGTGGGAACTGAACCTCAATCTCTTGGATCATAGGTCGATGCTCAATCACTGAACCACACCAGCTGAGCTAGTTGCCCATTTTTTAATGACAGTGACACAGTACGCCACCATACGTCCATACCATAATATTTAAACCAGTTCTCTATTGGTGGGCAGTTAAATTGTTTCTACATTTTTTGCTATTTCATAATAACTACTTTGTTATGTATACTGACCAACAAAAGTTTTCTTTTCACATTTGTTGGGAAAGTTTTAGAAGTGGTACTACTGATCTTGAACACAAGCGTTTGTGATTCTGTTTGTAAAAGATGGTTCCCTTTTATCGTCGCGTCTTATAAAAGCAAAAATGACATCAAAATGGAGACCTCATATGTAGGATATTGAGAAGTATCCTGTAAAAATCTTATATCTTTAGATAAAAAAATTATTGCAAATTTACACTGTAAGAATCAGAATATTCATATTTTCTTATTCTTGGGACCCTGCTAGCTCCATATCAAAGACTTCGCCCCCTCCCTCCCTCCATCCTTCCCTCCCTTCCTTTCCTCTCCTCTACAATGCAGTTCTTAAATTTCCTGAATGGTGAAATTTTAAACTGTGTTCAGCAAATTAGCAGCAACTACTTAGATTTTCACTGCTGTAGAATAAAAGGGCTCTAGAATTTCAAACCATAAAATTGTGGTTAGATTTAAGCCAATGTAGAGAAAATTCTATTCGCGAGTATGTTCAATCTCCTTCCTTGATCCCATCCACAGAAAACAACAGTTCCCAGCTGCTGAGGATTCTAATTTCTTCTGAAACATGGCACCCTCAGAACCTCGGGGTGGTGTAATGATAGCAATCAGCAAAGGGCAAGAACTGGAGCTCTTAATGTGCAGAATTATTTAGGATCTTAAAAGCCAGATAAGAGCTAGTGGGCACAGAGCCACCGTGTAAGCAGTCGCTCCATCCACTTTAGTTCAGAACAATTTTATAAAATTGCATTCTTAGGCTCTTTGTTAAAATAAGTTTTTCTTTCAAAACTCACTAACTCTTACAGCACTAAGTCTAATAGCTAAAAATTGGAGACAAATGTCTAATAATAGAGGGATGGTTAACAAAATTATGCTGTAGCCACTCATTTCTGCAGCTACTAAAAATGACCACTATGATGACCTAA